GTCTGTAATTTTACAGACTATGGTAATTTTACCAGACTTTTACTTGGCACTAAGTATACCTAGACTTTTTCTGTAAAATCTCCCCCAAAATTTTTAACAGTGCTCCTTATTAAGGCAACGATAAATGGCCTCACTCTTTTTAACTGAGACACATCACTCCAGCACTATCGAGTATTAAGAACATTTCAAACTAGAACTTTTGCTCACCGTTTAAAACAAAACATTAAATTCCACCAAATTTATCCTACATTAAGACATAAAAACGAACCGTAAACTGCCCGCAAAAATGCACTGCAGGACGGAGGATCTGTCCTAAGTCTTCCTGCGTGCAGAGAACGCCAATCAATTCACAGACGTGAACTAAAACCATGACTGCCCTCAGAATGGTAAAAACCTGGATAAGCAAGAGAAAAAGTTAGGATATCTGATAACATGAAAACACCCATTGAGTGAGCCAAGAACCAGGCCGATGAAACAGTCTCGTCGACAGGCACATGTCCCGAGATAACTTTCGCGCGCTGGCAGCGCTGCTGGGTATAACGTTTAGTACGAGGATGTTTTGTTCAGAGCAATGTACTATGCGCAAATAAGGACCTTAGGCAAGGTATCCATCAACAACATCTCTAGTTCAGTGTTTGCGGTTCCTAAATGATGATAGTACCCTATGGAGGGCAAGGGGCCACATCCCAGGACCTACCGAAATCACACCTCTGCAAAATCGCCGTAACGGACCGCCCGAGGCGACCGGCAGGCGGTCAGCTCTGGCCCTGCACCGACCGCGTGTCGGTCAGCGCCGACCGTTTGCAGGACTGTGAAAAATGATAGTGATTTTACCGATAATTTGTGTAATCCTTTACAGAAATAGTCGTGTGATTTTACAAAACATTTTAGTTTGATCGAAATTCTATGGTAAAATGACAAGTACCTGAAAATTTACAGATTCTCTGACTTTTTCGAGAAAACGAGACAAGAATAAGAGAGGACATCCAAATTAAAACGGCTGAATCTCCCTCCTATGGTGTCAAAAGTGCCATAAATGAATCACAGCTACAACTCACTCCCCAAACACCTGAAGGATATTGTCTCTCAAAACCCCTTTAAAAAAGAAATTAAAAAACTTCCTCA